TTAGCTTAAACTTTAAACATGACTATGGGATTCTACTAGGGAAATCATGTTTTATAATAAATGCCCCTTCCTGGATCCTCCCACTGTTGCCTTTCTTTCCTTCAAGGAATGTATAAAATACATTCGCATATTAATACAGAGGAGTCGGAGTCGGGGAGTCGGAGTCGGAAGTACAAAAAACTGAGGAGTCGGAGTCGGAACATTTATCTACCGACTCCACAGCCCTGTTCATAACTTTGTAAAATCAGTTTTAATAATCTTTTTGTCATTTATTTCTATAATGATATGTGGAAATGACCTTGGGAGATAGAATGGAAGGAGGAGATGGTGCCTAGGGAACGGTCAGATAAGAGAGGGCAAACCCTCAGCTGCATTACAGGCAGATAAAGGAAACTCCCTAACTTATCAGACTATTGTGTCAACCTTTCCAGGTAGACCAGATAAGAAACATGACCAGATTATCTCATTCTACTTTATTGTAAGGCTCTATTAACAGAATCTTGCAAGACTAACAGTGCAAACAGGGCAAAACTCCCATTGCCCTTTTTACAGCCTGATAAGTTATGGAGGTCATAATCCAGACACTGGAGGAGGAAAAGATAAAACAAACTATGGGGAAACACAACTGAAGAGTGCAGTTGTGTTTCTAGAAAGAGTGCAGAAAAGAGCAACAAAGATGATTAGGGGACTGGAGGCTAAAGCATATAAGGAACGGTTGCTGGAATTGGGTGTGTCTAGTTTAATGAAGAGAAGGACGAGGGGGGACATGATCGCAGTGTTCCAATATCTCAGGGGTTGCCATAAAGAAGAGGGAGTCAAGCTATTCTCCAAAGCGCCTGAAGGCAAGACAAGAAGCAACGGATGGAAATTAATCAAGGAGAGAAGCAACTTAGAACTAAGGAGAAACTTCATGACAGTTAGAACAATTAACCTGCCTCCAGAAGCGGTGAATGCTCCAACACTGGAAGTTTTTAAGAAGAGACTGGACAGCCATTTGTCCGAAATGGTATAGGGTTTCCTGCCTGAGCAGGGGGTTGGACTAGAAGACGTCCAAGTGTTATTTTATTGTATTATAGAGTTCAGGGGGCTACCAGCTTGTAACAAAAGCCAGAGCAACCTGATGTGTTTATGCACTGCATATAAAGAGATCAGAATCATGAGTGATGGCAAGGCAGCTTCTCCTCTATAAAAATGGTAACTGGGGATTAACAGTTTGGCAGGGGTCCTGTCTGTGCTGTGGTTCTAATTCATCCCCAATTCCAATTTAACACATGTACAATGTGTTAAATAGATGCCAATTTATAATAAAATGTAGATTAGCCCTAGACAATTGGGAATAGAACTTTTCCTTCCAGGACAGATGTTGTTAGATTGCAAAGTCAGGAAGACCTTGCATAGCCATTAGGCATATGCAAAATGGTTCCAATGTGTTTCAGATGCAGCTATCAAAGGTAACCCTCTTTTGCACTTGAAACAAAGAATTTTCTGCCTTAGGAAGCACTGAGACGGGATCAGTTCTCAGTCCATATGCTACCTATATATAGAAAATCATTGTGGGACTAAGACATTTCTAAACTGAAATAGTATAGTTACACTAAATCAATAATGAAAAGGTACCCTTCTGTTTTTAGACCTGTTTTGATGGAATGATTCAGTTGAATCCCTTCAAGCTGAATAATTCCATAAAAGTATGAAACAAAATTAGTGGCCACCTACTGCTGTTATAGTTACATGCTCACTTTAAATGCATATGTGGATTCAGAGGTCCTTCAAAAATTGTACCGTTGGAACCCCCCCCCCCCCCATTTAAATACATTGCCAATGGAAAATAAACTTTATAACTCTGAAGGGATCTATTTGTTGAAAGATTGCAAAACTTATTTCTAATTTTTAAAAACTAGTTTTTAAAATTAATTTTTCCTTCCCATGTTTTTCTCCTTTGGAGAAAAAATGGCTAAGCATACTGTATCAAAGTAAAAGGTTGCCTTCATTAAGCATATTAAAGTAAAAAGGTGTAGAGTATAGCTTTGAAATCCAGTCCTTTTAAGAATGGTCTTGTCAAATTGCACACATAGACTTTTTCTAACTGTAAAACAGTTTGCACAGAGAACCAAATAGATATGTAAAAAAATGGCCAGCAAGTTGTTCACATATCAAAACTTGGGCAAATTGCTAAAGTACATTATCTTGTTTTTCTTAATCCAATTTGGTTCAGATATGCTTTTGGGTAAATGCTTCAGCTCCTGAGCTTTGTTCCCCAAATTTTGTTACTCATGTGTTCAGCACAAAACGTTTTTCCAGAAGCTTTTCAAAATTATTTAACTGTTCCAATAGCATAATATGAATGTAAAATAAACTTCTAAAATATGCCCCCAGCATATATTTCCCCAAGAATGCTTCTATTCTTAATCTACAGAACATTGCCAAGTCTTGTGCTGCCAAAATATAGTACAGTACAGAACAAAAATATATTGGAAAAGATTTTATGGAAAATAAATACATTACATAAATGTTTTCTCACCAATTATGTAATTAATTAGATAAATTCTAAACCTTATGAAACATTCTTTCCCTCTTTTTTGGGATTCTGAAAAGCCCTTAAGATTTGGCTATGGTGGAACCAGAGACCTATTTAGATGATTCCACTCATGAATCACAATCTGTGTCCCTACTCTCTCAGGAATTGTAATTTTAACTTTTATGATATTTTAATATCAATTTCATATTTACATTTTTCATCTGATGTCTGCCACCCAAAGTTACCTTTTGTGAGATGGACGGCTATATAAATTTCATAAATAACCATTTCTTCCCCTAAGATAGCTTGCAAAATAAAAAAATATATACAATCCAACTATAAAACAAAGAAAAATCAACAATTAAAGAAATAGACATCTGATAAGAGATGGCTTTAAAAAACAAACATGGATATTTGATCTAGGATGAATTATTTTTAACTTTAATTTTTAACGAAACTGCAGATTCCTCAAGAACAGGTAGGCCAGCATCTCTCAGTCTCCAGTAGTAGTTCTGGGAGTATGGACCTCAACACTCAAAATTCTCATCAATGGTCATGTTAGCTATGGAATTCTGGCAGTTGAAGTTCAAACTCCTAGATATTACCAAGGTTGGGAAATCCTGACTGAGGAAAAGACCTTATTGAATAAGGGTTTTTTTTTTGCTTAATTATATTATCCTATATTTATATACAGTTTGAATGAAGATAAAATATTAATATATACAGGAAAAAGAAAAGAAAACTTTACATTGGGTATATTTATTTTTCCACATGATTGTATGTGCAAGATGCTTCCATATTGTAGAAAGTTTATAGGGTACTTCAGTTTTGAAACTAAACAAGATGCTATCTCTCTTAAAACAGAAGCATAATTATAACAAGATTAATAATAATAATAATAATAATAATAATAATAATAATAATAATAATAATAGTCGGAGGGACCTTGGAGGTCATCTAGTCCAACCCTCTGCTCAGGCAGGAAACCCTATACCATTTCAGACAAATAGTTGTCCAGTCTCTTAAAAACTTCCAGTGTTGGAGCATTCACTGCTTCTGGAGGCAGGTTGTTCTGCTGGTTAATTGTTCTAATTAAAGAAGTTTCTCCTTAGTTCTAGGTTGCTTCTCTCTTTGATTAGTTTCCATCTGTTGCTTCTTGTCCTGCCTTCAGATGCTTTGGAGAATAGCTTGATTCCCTCTTCTTTGTGGCAACCCGAGATATAATTAAATGTACTACTCCATGCTAACTAATGTACAAAATGTCATTATTCCCATAGGAAACATAAGAAAAAGAAAAATAATTAGGGGGGGAATACTATGGATATTTTTTTTTACTTTGTCTTAAAATGAAAAAATAATCCTATTAGATCAAACAGAAATCAAATAGATCTATTTGATTTTCTATATTATGAGTACAAATGCCTTTGAGAAGCAGTTGGTCAGAAATCTGAAAAACTCCTGAGAGCATGAAGTAACTATGACTTATGTGTCTGGTATTTGAATGATTTTTCCAACCATACAAACTGTATTCATACACACCCAGGGATTTTTTCCCCCCGTACGACTAGTAATTACTTTGTTTCCCTATCCTGATGTTGCCCAGTGTTCTGGACTTCAATAATCCTTAGCCAGGGAAACTATGGGCTTTGAAGGCCAACATATTTGGAGGATTACCAGGTAAAGAAAGCTATCAGAAACTGCAGAAGCATCTTTCAGCCACATGAACTCTTCAAGGCACTACCACAAACCTGTGTATGTCTGCAAAAGCATCTTTCAGCCACAGGAAATCTTAGGGGCCGAAAAAAGTGTTACAAAATACAGTACGTCAGGTTGAAATACTGTTAACATGAAGCATCTTGTCTAGGTGAAGGGCATTGCCTTGCATAGTCTATAAGAGAGCGCTCAAGCCTGCAAGCTGTGACGCAAACTTTGGCAGGGAAAAAAGAATCTAGCTTTCTTTTCTTGCATGCAGCACAACTAGTATTATCAAACATAATTTATTTTAACATTACATCAACAACAACTTTAGAAAAAAAACTGATCCTGGTTTGTAGAGATAAAAGAGAATTGTTATCATTGTAAAGAGCACCCATTAGAATTGTGTCATGACAGGGCAGGAACAGAACTCAAGAGTAAAATACAAGCAAAACTACATAGACTTTATATCAGGTTGCTGGCATATAAAAAAGCAAAATTATGTCCTAAATTTAGAAGTAATAAAAGGTGCTTACCAATTTTTTTTCTCCATCAATTTTTGGGTCATCCACATAAGTAAGTACAAAGTCTATTCTCCGTTTACCATCTCTGAAGAAAACAGAATCCTTGCTTTGATGTCTCTTATCAATCTAGAGAGAACAGAAAGCATCACTATATCAGCATCCATTATACATATATTAAATATCCTTATGTATCTAAGTTTTTTCAAGCTTTATGGTCAAATAAGGTTTAAATAATATTTATTTTCAGACAGATATTTGCAACACAGTTACAAAATATATTTTTCTTATATTTGCATAGCCAAACACTGACACAACTGACTTTCTTCATAAATAAGCAAGCACAAATGCAGAGACGTTTGCCACAATAAAGTCACTCTGTTATAAAGATATTTATTAAACAGTAACGTCTGAAGCCTACACTATGACTCACACATTCACCATAGAGTAAAGAAGCTAGTCAACATACATTTGAACGAGGACACAGAGTTGCTACTTTGAAATGCTCTTTTATGTTGCCAAAGTATTTTAGTCCAGTGCAATTTTGTACATTTTACTGTATAGATGATAAAGTGACAACATGTGAAAGCAGAAAGCACAGAAGCAGCTCTGAAAATAAAGAGTAAGTGCTATAATATTATAGTTTAGGAAAACAAGATGTGCAGAAATGAAATCTACCTGACTGCAGATTTTATGGGAATAAAAAGTATTTACAGTTGCACAGGTCTGAGAATATTATTGTTTGTTTGTTTTTAAATATATTTCTTACTTTCAAAAAGTGATTAGTAGCAATCACACTATAATAAATTTGGGTAAACTCCCCCTTTGCAATTTACTTGCTATTTCTGAACTTCAAAAGGAGATTTCTGGGACTTTCTAAATAAAAAATAAAAAAAATAAAAACAATACAAAAAAAAAATCCTAAGAAAACTTTAAGGGAAAAAATCCCCATGATCATGTGATCAAAATTCATATGCATGGCAACCAGTTCATATTTATGACCATTTCTGGGTCCCAGGGTCATGTGATCAACTCTTGCAATCTTCTCGCAAGCAAATCAAGATTCATTTAACAACCGGATTACCAACTTCTCAACTGCAGTGATTCACAACTGTGATTCACAACTGGGGCAAGAAAGGTTGTAAAATGGGACAAAACTCACTTAACAAATGTCTCATTTAACCACAGAATTTTTGGGCTCAATTGTGGTCGTAAGTTGAGGACTACCTGTGTACTGTTTCTGGGGATAGTGTTTAGAAAAGAAACGGGGAGAGAAAAAAAGTCATGGATGTCATCTGGGAGCAAATGAATACCCTACATTGAGGAGCTGAGACAAGTTCAGGGTGTTGTAATAATTGGAAGTATAAACAGGGAGAAGGAAAGATTCAGTTCAAGACTTTTTGTTGAGTATATTCAACGTAGTGTCAAGGTGCTGGCTAGACACCAGAAGAGTGTGAGTTCTAGTCCTGCCTTGTGCATGAAATTGGCTGGGTTAGTCAGTCTCTCTCAGTCCTGCTGAGGAATAAAGATAGCAAACTTTGTAGGTTTCCATTTTGAATTCCTTGAGAATTAACTCTGGCGAATCCAAACGGTTCAGACAATAATGAGTCATTTATTCCAAAGGGTTGAACGATGTATGGAATGTGCATTTGGAAGAGTGGGAATAGGGCAGTGGTGGCGAACGTATGGCACGGGTGCCAGAGGCGGCACTCAGAGCCCTCTCTGTGGGCACGTGCGCCGTCGTCCCAGACCTAGGCCTTCAGCTGGGTTTTATAAAACCTTTTCGCTTTAGGCCTCCGCCGCCGTGTACACAAAAAAAAGGTTCAATCAATCAGTCAATTTCAACTTCTCGCGGGATAAAAATGATGTTGCAAAGTTGGAATTGATTGATTGAACTTTTTAGTCCCACCCAGTCTGCTGTTACACTGCAGCCATGCCCACCCAATGGGCCACACCCACCCGGCACACGACGATGCATAAGTGGGTTTTGGGTTGCAGTTTGGGCACTCGGTCTCTAAAAGGTTCGCCATCACTGGAATAGGAGAATCTCAGCATTCGCACCATAGCTTCCCAGTCTATGGAGATTCTCAGTTGTCCAGGTCATAGTTATCCCAAAGATGCTTTTTCACGAGGCAACTGGACTTTCTTGTTTTTCTTTGAAGATGCTTCGCTTCTCATCCAAGAAGCTTCTTCAACTCTGACTGGATGGTGGGGAATGGAAATATTATACTCCTGCAGACAGCTGTTCATTTGCATTCTTCTAACAAGTTGTTGATGCTACTTGGAGGCTTATCTGTATCTTCAGGGTCACCTGAGTAGTGCAAATGGGTGTGGAGCCTTCTTGGAACTATTGAAAGGACTGTGTTGTAGACTGGAGATAGATGATATCATATCTCTCCCCCTCTGTTGAGAGAGGGATGTTCAATTTTGACATAGATGGCCTCTTTGACCCCTCTTTCAAACCAGCGGGATCTATGTCAAAATTGAACAGCCCTCTTTCAACAGAGGGGGAGGGATATGACATCATCTATCTCCAGTCTACAACACAGTCCTTTCAATAGTTCCAAGAAGGCTCCAGGTAACATTAACGACTTGCTAAAAGAATGCAAATGAACAGCTGTCTGCAGAAGTATAAATCTTTCCATTCCCCACCATCCAGTAAGAGCTGAGGAAGCTTGGATGAGAAGCGAAACATCTTCAAAGTAAAACAAGAAAGTCCAGTTGCCTTATGAAAAAGCATCTTTGGGATAACTATGACCAGGACAACTGAGAATCTCCATAGACTGGGAAGCTATGGTGTGAATCCTGAGATTCCAACTGCACATTCCATCACATCGTTCAACCCTTTGGAATAAATGACTGATTCTCCACAATTCTATAATACTTCTTTGGATGCTAATAAAAATGGTGTGCTGACTTCATTCTTAAGGGAATCTGTATGGGTACCAATGTCATGGTTTATCTAAAAGCATCATGTTAGTGTTTTTTTCCACTAAAATAATCTTTAAGGGTTCTTGCAGCCCTTCTACCCTTTGATCATGTTTGAATAAATATAAGGTACTTACCCTATGTATAAGAGAGCACCATTATAAGGCTGAGTATAGGCTACAGAGGAATTGGATTCACAACCTCATATTTGGTACCTAAGTGATTTATACCTATTTTTAAAATGCTAGACTTTACTAAATGGCATTTTATGTCAAGAATTATTCCAATGCAACATTTTTTTCAATTGTCAAAATATATTTAGCAATTAAACAGTTATAACATAAGGCTGCTTCATATCTTTCAATGAAACAGGAGCTATATAGACAGCTCTAGGATCGTATCTTTTGACAGATATTGAATTCTCTCTAAGTGTGTGTGATTTATATTTATCTGGTTAAGGTACAGGCTAAAATTCATTACTTCATCTTGTTCCCTATTAAAGAGAGACATCACATAATGAAGCTTGTTATCATTGCAGCCATCCAGGTGTTAGTGGTACAACTTGTCAATGGTTTACCCTGAGACGTCGCTTCAGGAACAGATTGAATCTCCTTCCAGACTTCTGGAATAACCAACAGGGTGTTAACATATGAGCAAACTCTCTTTTTTTAAAAAAAAAAACTAACTCTACAACTTTGTATGATCAGGGGATTGAAGTAATTTTCCCAGATTATTGAATAACTTTACAATCTGAAGGAAACACAGGGGCAAGAAATGCCTATATTAGGTCTTCAAGAAAGCCTTCTACAAGCTGCTGTCCTCCAAATATGCTAGAAATGAAACTGCCAGAATTTGCAGTCCTGCTATTTTGGAATGCTTCAACAAATCTGTAGGAAATAAAAGGCGTTATAGTATTCAGAATAGCCATCCACAGCCTCCTTAGGAGATGTAGAGTCATTGTTTTCATAACCCTTTCATATTTATTATTCATGGATAAAAGTTACCAGTTTGGATTCAACTGGTGGTGTTATAACAAGAATGAATGATGTTCTGCCAGAAGAATGGACATTGGCTTTTGAGGACCCACATTTGTACTTATAGACTTCCCAAATTACTTATTATACCTTTATATTAAGTTAAAGAAAGTTATATAAGAAGTTGGTTTCTCAACAAATATAAAAGACTTGTTTTATGATCCTATCCAGATTAAATATTTTGTAATTAATCCATACAACAAAGAACAATATTCATTCAGAGCTATACAATAAGATTCTTGTTACCAACATGGAGAAGTTATATTCTTCAGAGCTAGTTTCCATGTTTTTAGAGTTATGCGATAATGCAAGATAAGTCACATATTATGTCCTTTGTCTTAAAGGGTTAGGGACAGCTATAAGCCTTATTTTATTCCTGATCTTAGTTTTCATCAAAATGTGATATTATTAAATACTTGACCTTTCTTTATCCATAAATCTGAAATAAGCTATAGTGTGTACCTTGCTACATTTATCAATATTTAGTGTAAAGTGACTTTAACTTCTGAGGCAACAGAAAAAAAAATTCTGATTTAGGAGGGGGAAATCTGATCTTGGATAAATCTCCATTTATCTCTCAATAACTTCCATAGCTGTTATTTTTTCCATCTTGGAATGAGAAAACTCTGAAAAATGTGGCAGGGTTTGAAGTCTAGAGAAATTGAAGGTAGAGAGACTGAAGGAGCCACATGCTGCCAAATCTCTGCTGTGAGGAGGTATGATTCATTTATTTGTTTTTCAAAGGAAAAAAAATAGCAGGGAAAAAAGAGCAAATGCTATTTGTTTCTCCACGTGTATGTTGCCAGTATATTGCTAGAAGGGTGGTAGGTTCATCAGTTTTTTTCAGCTGTAGTCTCATATATACTTATCTAAAAATAAGTTCCACTGTACTCCAAGGAATTTTATTCTGAGCAAACATGCACATTATTGCATTGCTATGAAATTAGTATATAGTTATGATCAGAATTATGAAAACCCATCATTTAGTACAATTGCAGAGGGTGATAGGGAGCATCTTGAGGATTTTAAATTCTCTCTTTAAGTAAAGTCATCCTTAAGCAAAAGGTGGATGGTCAATGTCCAGTGAAAACTCAGAAATGAACATTTTAATATTGAACTGTCCTTTGTGCCTCTCCTATAAGATAAAATGCCATTATATTATTTCTGCAATACAAGAGACTTCCCACTATCATAATAAAATACGTCTTCCTAGATTAGGATCTTATATTAAAGAAAAATTGTCAACACACATCACACATCAATATCCTTTTATATCACACACACACACACACACACACAAAAAGGGGCATTTTTGTGCTGTTTATCTCAACATTTTTCAAGATATTACAATATAAACCAGAAGAATATAAATGTTCCTATTACACTTTTGAAAAAAGCACTGCATAGTTTAATTATTTTGCTACATAAAAAAGTTATACAAACCTTAATAAAAAACCAACATGTTTTTTTATTAATAAAAGGTTTTCACCAGCCTTTCAAATATAGATTCATAAAGAGAACACAAACCCGGATTAAACTGCTTTTTAAGATTTACTTTCATTTTCTTTCAACATTATTATACTTTTCACCATATAGTATTTTAAGGTAGTAATAGAAAAACTCTGCTCCCACATCAAAACTATGAGTTATATCAATGCACCAAAAGACCCATGGTAAAAAAAAAAGCATATTAGTAATAGAAAAGATATATTACCAAGATATTACCCAATGTGAGGAGCTGAAGAAGTATTATATCAGAATTAATTACATTTAAATTACTTGTAAAGGAAAGAAATGTACATTTTAGGTCTATTTTCTGAATGCATTTAGGTTATCAAAACAGATACAGTTTTATCCTGCTTTTACTCATTAGAAATTGTTTACTTTCTAAGAGTAAGCTATGTTATACTTGCTTGGCCTTCAGCTTTAAAACTATTCCACTCAGAATCCCCCTGCCCCAAAATATAAACTTGATCCTTCACTGCAACTTACAGGGAAGTGATGTACAAGTAGTTTACTTAGAGAGTGCATGCAATTTTTCACTGCTGTAGAAATAAATGTGGTGTTAATAAATAAGCCAAAGCTCTGTTAAAAAAGACCCCAGACCGTTAATGTAAACTCATTCCAAAGCAAAATCAAACACTAAAAAGAAAAAAAGAAAAGAAAAATAAAAACCTTTCCAGTTTTCAGTATTAGGTAGACTTTTCAAAGATGTTTATTTTTTTGTATACAAGTATACATTTAGTGATTTTTTTAAAAAAAAATTTCCAGTGGAAAATATTAGAGGATTATAGTTTTGGTGAGGCAATCAGTAGTATTTAAGCAATCACCCCTTATGAAGCTATTATTTCAGAAATGTAGAACCCTACAAAACTGGTTTACTTAACCTCTAACCTTTCATTCATGTCGGAACTATATCTTCTCATATAACTGGGAATTTTTGTAACTGCAATTCAAATCTTCTCCAGCCACACTGAAGTAATCAGGTGTTCAAAAAACACCTGACTTTTGAAACGTAAATTTCATTCTTTGAAAGATCCTAGGAAAACTGGAAAAATCTTTTTTTTCCCTCTCTCTCTCTCTTTTCTTTTGCTGCACTTTGGCAAACACAATACCATTCATGCAGGAATATATAACCACTTCCCCTGTAGCTGCTTACCCCTTGAAGGTCAGAGATGAGCAATGTGGTCTCAGTGGTACTTAGGCCCTGCCAGTGGCATCATGGAAAAATATAATGCTGTTAGTGTGGTGCAAAAGCAGCAGGATGCTTATAAAAATGCAGCAACCATAAAACTCTGTGGCATTTTTTTGTGGCAATTGTTGTTTATGGTTCAAAGCTGTGATGAACGATTCCCAGTTTAATTCTTAAAACAACTATGGATCACTTAAACCATTTGCCATCTTTTAAGTATTTAGACTAGATAGGAATCTACTAATAACTTATGTTTGACGTGGATTTTCTCTACTTTGTCAAACATTTAGGATTATAATTTTAAAAGCTTGCTATATAAAGAATGACTCGATAATATATTTTGGATTCGATAGAAAGTATCGAATGGCATTTTTGAGCTCTTTAAATATTCTTACACAAATTTGTTTCATTTAGATATTCAATGTTCAGGTCTAGCAGCCTCTGGAATACAATCCATATTACCCTATAAAACAGAAACCTAATGCAGGTTTCAAGAAGATGTTGAATTCAATACAATAAAGTTATTTATATAATTTAGTGCCAGTGCTGCTATAGCACTTAAACATAACAAAGTGAATTACATTGATATGTGATGTTGACACATTAAGAAAAAAGGGAACAAATGCTTGAGGTATTAGTTTTAAATATAAATAGGGGAACTGAAACAATCGCCTAGATATATTAACTTCATGAATATGTATTGGGGAATGGCTAATTTTTTTTATTAAACATGCATTTTCTTTTAGTGTTCTTTAGCAAAAATTAAACTAGACCTATGTTATTAGTGCGTGATTAGTTTGAAAAAAAAACTTAAATAAATGAACATCTCTGTATTTTCACAAATTTCCTTAAAATAAAAGCAGAGAATTTGTTGTAAAAAGCAAAGTATACATATTTAGTAATCTATTAGAACTAATTTGAGCAAAACACTTACATTGTCATAAGTATTATGAATAAAATGTATTCTCCTAATGATATTTCCATAATTTATCTTGTAGGCCATATAACCTGCTGTCCATAAACTAGAATTAAAGAGCTAGAAATTTCTGGTCTTTTAACACTATTATAAATGTGTATCCAGCCTTTATAGCCAAAAGCTATCCAATCTTGCTGTCCAATTCCCACTGCCTTATCCTGATGCTTCACTTATCCACCTTAAAATAAAGCCATTCACATTACCTCATCTGCTTCCAATTCCTCCTCCACTGTCTATCCCAAATCAAAGCATGTCAAGCCTGCTCCTTACTTTTGCCATCTTCTCTTACTATCCTTCACTGCAAACACCAATTTCCACCTACCACAATCTTCACTGATTTGAATCCTTTCTTTTTTCTATCTTGATCCTTTCCTTGCCTCCCATCTCTATTTTTATTTCACTCCTTTTTTCCACATCTTACTATGAGCACTGATTTTGTTTCCCTTTGCTAACTTCTGTAGATTAATCTGATTGAAACTTCAGCATAGTTTTTTTCTGTTGTTTTTAGTATCTAGAATATAATATTTGAAAATTAATTCAAATCTTGCCTGATCTTTATGTTCTCTTAGGAAATTTCAAGACAGTAAATATGAAGTCTGGTGAGACATTCAAAAAGTCAATAGTTAAAATATTAACAAAAGTATTTATCTTTGGTAGTTCAAAACTTTACCAAATCGCACTGTGACTTCTAAGTCTGAAAAGTTGTAAGGAAAAAAATGAGATGTACAAGTTGAGCTATGTTAATTATTTATATAAAAATACATCTGAGATGTTTAAAGTTTTTCCCCTTCCATTTTTTATCCACATTTATATAAATGTATTTTTTTATATTTTGATTTGTTTTAGAATTATATAATTTATATTATATTACAGTTGATAAATCCTTCTATTCATATCATTTCCCATAGCCCTGAATGTAAAGAATGTGCATAAGCAAATATGCAAATCAAAGAAATTTCTATTAAGTGGTTCCAAAATGAAACAGTAAATTTTAATCTCAGGGCATGTTGATGAATGTATACTACGGGAAAGAGACTGTCTGGCTAATATAGTGGTTAATGTTAGAGAAAGTCAGGCCCCTTCAAAAGTTATCCCCATTTTCATATGTAAATTCTGCATCAAAATATGGAATTTAACTTGTAAAGAGAATCAGATCAAGGCGCACGACAGAACTACGGTATGCTGTTTGCAGAAGATAATATTAGCTACCATTTTTCTCTTTGCTTTCAAGATCAAGTCAATTTTCTTTTCAGACTCTATTTAAAGCAAGTTAGGAAATATATAGTTCCATTTGTATAGTTGGAAATTCAAATAGATTTAGGTTGATTTAAAAAGCAGTTCTATTTTTAAAAGTTGGTGAAAGTTAAGATAACAAAGAGGTTGCTTCCTGTGGCAGGAGAAGAGTTGGGGCTGTTTCTAATGATATCTGCATGGGGAGAAAGCTATTACTATTATTATCTCACTAGTTCTTACAAGTGGAATTGTCTGAAATTGGAAGTTCATAGACAGGTATGAACAGGAATTGAACACACAAGAACTGGTTTCTCCATTCCCCTTAAAAGATATACCCAGTCCAGGCTAAATGATCCCATTCCAAAACAGCCTGGAGCAGAAAAAAGGAAAAATATTTCCTATTATAGTTAATGGGAGGTGAGGTTGCCAGTCTGTTTTTAATATATCTGATAGAGATAAGTAATGAAAATGCACCGTCATTTTCTACTCAGGTAAGTGAAAGTTGGCGTAATTTGGCCAAGGTGTTAGTGCTGTTTTTAAATTCCCCATGGAACTAACCTAAGGATGCCCTAAAAGTAACATAAATATATGAGAATTGATGGAATGGGTATTATTTAACTAGCTAAAAATGTTGTGTTTAGTGCACACTTATATGATTGACTTAACTTAAAAGGAAAATAAATTAACTCAAATTAATGGAAAGAATGGGAAAATGAACATGAAACATACACATTCCCAAACTGGAAAGAAAAAATCATTTAACAATCAAATGTTGAAAATAAATACAATATTGCAAATGGTTAGCAATGAAACAGCTGAACAGCATTACAGGTCATCTACTCTCATTAATGATGTTTTTAAAGTACAACTTAGTACTTCAGAACTCATTCTGGGATAAAATTTAGATCCCTTATTGAACTATGGACACTTAGCACTGATACCGAAATTAACTTGATATTATTTTCAATCAGATATGCATGTACGATTTCATTCTGACAAACTGTGGGGAGTAATAATAATAATAATAATAAAATATATTTTAAAACAGTTCTGCTCAATATGGTCTCCTCCAGATGTATTTGGCTTGGAATTGAAAGAACTGAAATCTTTTTTTGAAAAGCAGATTATGAATGGCCGCTTATCAGTGTGGCTACTGCTAGATTGCAAACTGCTAATTACATTTTACTTGAATGTCAACAAATATAAAATTCTGCAGGGCCACAACCAACAAGAATTGACAATCTTATTATCATAAATGTATGTTTAAATAGTATTTTAAAAATAAATAGTAATTAAAAAAACACACAAATATGGTTTGGAAGGGTAAGGTTTGGCAATGTTTATAGTTATCTCAAGTAACTTCCATCAATAATATCCAATCTCATTTTATAAAACCATTTATATCCACAGTTAAAGCTTACCTCAGAATTGCTAGGAAATTCTGATTCTGTATTTGATGTAGTTTCAAACAAAGGTCCATTACTTTCTTCTCCTGAACAATATAAAAAAAAGTATTTTTACTTCTCATGTTTCCTATTTTAAATATTGTTTTCATTTGCTTATATAAGACATATAAACACACACAAAAACCCTTGATCTTAAATGTATTAAAATACTAAGCAAGCAAACATCATCCAGTTTTGCAACATTATTCAAATAATGCAACAGTAAAACGGGTTAAATTTAAACTTTACAAATTTCAAATGCCTATGAAAAGGTCTACACACTTACCATCTTTTACTTATTTTAAGTTGAGCTGCATACAAGTTTAATAAATTAGAATTATTATTATTAATAATTATTAATGACTGGGACAAAAATGGTAAATTAATGTCCCTGGTAAAATATTCTGCAACCAGATACTAAGAAGTCATTCTCTGAAACAACCAATAACAAGTTTACCTTTAGGACTGAAACAGGTATCATCCAGACATCATCAATTATAAAAATATCACTGGAAGAATATGCTTTCATTTCTGATTAATCCCAGATTTTAGCAACTATATCCTACGAGTCAATAATAACCCAGAAGCAGCAGCATACAAATGTCAGTATAAAACAAAAGGAAGAATGAAATTCTTAAACCACTATATTATTACATACTAAGCCAGATCAACGTACAAAACCACTCATTCAGTGAATGAACTCATGATGGCACTGAATGACTGGTACTTATGACTGGTCCTCATACTTACTTTGGTGGCAGCATATCCGTGGTCATGTAAATGTGATCTGGGCAGTTGTATGCTGGCTCACAACTATGACATTGCAACATCCTGTGATTGCCATTTGCAACCTTCTTTTCCTACCAAAAAAGTCAATGGGAAGGCAGCAGGAGGTCACAAATGGTGACCATGTGATGTTCTCACTTAACAACAACATGGGGTTTGCTTAATGATGCCAGAACCTCCACATTACTTAGTGACAGAAATTCCAGTTCTAATTACATTTGTTAAATGAGGACTAGCTGTAGCTTGTTGTTCAGAGCGATCAATACAGTTCAGTTAGCTTAATACTGCACATACTAACTTGTGTATACAGATAGTCTTCGACTTAACAATGGAAACTGGGACCAGACTTTCCAGACTATGTCCCTACAGTCCTAGTTGCCATTGTTAACCGAATCCCACAGCTGTTAGGTGAGGCAACTTTCTGGCACCTTCCCACAACCAAAGTCAGTGGGGAAGCTGGTACAAAGTTGTATGGCTCAGGCCCATAGGTAGGCAAGTGGATATTGCTAGGCAAGGGAGGGAGGGAGAGAGGGGCTGTGAGGCAGAATGCATGAAACATGCAGTGTGAGTCAGGGAAGGTGCATAATGGTGCAAGGGAGGATTGGGGAGAATGTGAGGGGGGGTGTAAGAGATGCCACACAAGTTGGAAAGGGTGCAGTGAGGGTCAGGATGTGTGCAAGAGGTGCAGCGCAGGTCAGGGAGGGTGCCTGAGGGAGGGTCTAGGTTCAGGTTAAGGAGGGTACATGAGGCACTGTGTGGATCAGGAAGAATGTGAGGGAGTGCATGAGAGATGCAACACAGGTGAGGGAAATATGGTGCAGGGAGGTGAAGGTGTGAAAGGGTACCCGTGAAGTGTGGCATATATCAGGTGTGTGAAGCTGTGAAATGGGTCAGGGAAGAGGTGCAGTTCATGTTAGGGAGAGTGTGCAAAGGTGTGGCATGGAGAGAGGGGATGAGGGAGAACACCATTGGTGCAGACTATGATGGATGTGTGACGGTGTGAGAGATGCCTGGTGTGGGTCGGTAAGGATGCCCGAGGATATTGTGCAGTCCAGGGAGGATAGAATGTATGAGGCTGTGGCATGGCTGAGGGAGGGAAAGCAGGAGAGGAAGCCACCTTCCTCGCTGGCTTCCCCACTGACTTTCTGGGGAAGGCACAGGGAAAGTTGAAAATGGCAATCATGAAATTGTGAGGTGCTTGGCAACCGGTTGCAAGTGTGAATGGATTGCCAATGGGCTGCCAGATCATTATCACATCACTGCAGGGTTGTTGGCACAGCCAGAACTCATATTACCTAAGTAACAAGTATTTTAAGAGTCTGCAAAGATATGTGGCTAACATAAAAGATACATGCTAACACAGTTTCACTTGCTCAAACAAATATCAATGGATTTATATTTATATTATTCATTACATTTAACATGTTGCAGGAGTAGTTCTTAACAAACCAAACAATGAACTCTAACCTACATCTGAGAGCTAGTTTACTATATTGTGGTTTTGGCACCAGCTAAAAACCAGCAAACTGTGAAATCTAGTTCTGCCTTAGGATAAATTCTGGGTAACTATGGATCTATTCCAGTGATGGTGAACCTTTTAGAGACCGAGTGCCCAAACTGCAACCCAAAATCCACTTATGTATCGTCGGGTGCCGGGTGGGTCTGGCTCGTTGGGTGGGCGTGGCCCATTGGGTGGGCGTGACTGTGGTGGTAATGGCAGACTGGGTGGGACTAAAAAGTTCAATCAATCAATTCCAACTTTGCAAGATCTTTTTTTCCCCGCAAGAAGTTGAAATTGACTGATTGATTGAACCTTTTTTTTTTTTTGCACATGGCGGCAGAGGCCTGAAGCGAAAAGGTTTTATAAAACCCAGCTGAAGGCCTAGGACTGGGGCGACGGCGCGCGTGCCCACAGAGAGGGCTCTGAATGCGGCCTCTGGCACCTGTGTCATAGGTTTGCCACCACTGGTCTATTCCTTTCTCTCAGCTAAAGGAAGTGGGCAATGGCAAACCACTTCTAAAAACAATAACAGGAAGACCACAGAGACTAATCCCAGACGTTGTCAGGTGTTAAAACTGAATCAAAGCATAAACAAAAAGAAAGAACTAGGATTGTAATATACTGTATACATTACAAAATTAATTCAAACCAACTTCTCTCAGGAATTATTATTGCTTTATTAGATATGGACAATATGTTGTCCCTGAACCATTCCTGTATCTTGAAATGTATCAAAGAAGGAGCTGGTTAGGTATAAAACTATATAACTCTGAAAACTCTGAGATACTTAACTTCTGCAGTGCGTTCTTCCCTGTGTCACGATTGTGGCTTCATGAAAGAGTTGAATAGCATTTATTTTCATTTTAGTTTAATCTCAGTTTGCTCTGCCAGCCAGAGTCAAATCATAATTGATTTTAACAGAATTGAGAAATGCTCGTTACTATGTCAAACTCTAGTTATTGTAGTTTATTTCATACTGTTGAACTAACAATAGTTTTAAATTTTCATACCTAAATTTATATTCAAACTGTGCCAGGTTTTACTTCCAAATGTTAATGCCACAATTTCAGGACACATTTAAAGGATAGAAAGGGCGAGTATATAAATAATTTGCTTCCTATTTCCATTCCTACCATAAAATTCTAAAGCCTCCTTCATACACCACACCTGTCTTTCCTATGATGTAAGTACGTCACCAGACAGTCTCCTGATGTTCCCCAGATGGTTGAGAGGCCAAGTTCCAGATCTTGATATTGCCTACCTCTGTGACTAGTTCATAAAAAATAGTCACAAAAAAGTGGATTTTAAGCTTTTTTCTTTTGACTATTTTTTTACATTAAGAAATAAGTAGTATAAAAAACAATTATGCAAAGCCTTACATGAACAGAAGATACAAATGGACACATCAATAAGGGAGCCATCTAAGCCAATTTCCAGTTGCCTGAGAACATCAGATCTGATAACACAACCAGGTCCTGAGGGCCTCCCAAAATAACAAAAGGGATAGTAGGGATGATAAAGGTTGTAGTGCATTCAGAATCCTGTCTCTGAAAAGTTGTAAGAGATTTTGACAACCAAATGGCAGGAGTTTAAATTACAGATACAGTAAAGAGGAAATTCAATAAAAGCCAAGGTGATACTGCAGTATAATTGTGTGTATTATTTCTACAACAAAGTTTACAATGGTTTACTGTTCTTTAGAAACTTTGTTAAATCACACAAGGATAAAAAAAGAAACATTTTGGTTTCCTTCCTCTAGGAACTGCAGTCAGACTAATGTCACAATTGGGTTTTCAAATTGTACTGTTCTAGCAGAAATAGTAGCTTATAGATGTGGTTTAGATGGGCTGTAACTCTGTGGTATTGCTCAACTTTTGGTTTGATTTTCCTCTGCTTAAATCTTTATTCCTATTGCTTGTTTGGTTCTCAGTTCCCTTATTCACAATAAATCTCTCAACTGTCTTGCCTGAGCTCAGTGTAGCTGTGGTGACACATCATCCTAAATACTGGTTTACTGCGATTTGTTAATCCATTACATTTTGTGAAACATAGTTTGTGTTAAACAGTTATACCACTATTTGATGTTAAACCATTTATATAGCTTGTTTAAAATGCATGAGTAAAACCAGCCATAATTGTTTGTAATCTGTGAGTCCAACTTTTAGTCCTAGCTAATCATTTATCATGAAAAGTTTTTAATTCCAGAGACATCATAAATTGACTTATTCTGAATGGAAATCCATTTCATCAGGATAGATGTAGTCGAGGCTGCTTCTGAACTCAAATCTCAGTGTTGTTCTCCAACTGAGGCAAATCCAGTAATGTATTTTATCAACTCATGTGACAGGCCAAATGAATCCCTTTCATGAAGATGTCCATCAAAAGATATGTGAGGATAATTCTAGCCTGGACCACTTTTATAGATTCTATCGGGGCCTGTCTTTGTGCTTGCTCTCTGGAAAGACCAGTGTTTTGGAAACTTTCAGATGTGTGGATTTCCATTCCCCAAACTGCCAAGCCAGAATTCTCAGAGTTGAAGTCTACCCATCTGAAAGTTGTCAAGCTTGAAAATCTTTGGCTTGCACGGTTATATTTGAAAGAACATGCTTCACCTTTACTGAAATCATCTAAGGCAGGGGTAGTCAACCTTGGCTCTTTTATGACTCGTGGACTTCAATTCCCAGAATTCCTGAGCCAGCTTAGCTGGCTCAGGAATTCTGGGAGTTGAAGTCCACGAGTCATAAAAGAGCCAAGGTTGAC